AATAAAATTCTGAAAATAAATTTATTATTCAAGTACACACATATAATGTACATGTATGTACATATGTACACACATACAAAACAAATTTAACTGCAATTGATGTGTTGAATGCCGGATTGTGAAGCAAAGTGGTGAAGGAAGACTCCCAGGCAGTGTTACCGCTGAAAATTTTTGGAAAGTCGCAAAAAAAGTGTCACAGCCGAAAAAAGTGTCTTGAAGTTATTCAAATCATTAATACCAGGGATGTGCAGATTTTTGGCTCTTAAAGCAGTCAAATAGTCAGCAAGTGCTAAGCAAGAAGTAAAGCAGTTCTCAGGGTAAAGGGGGATTAAAAAATACATTAAAAGTATCATATTTATTAGTAACTAGCTTATACCCGCGGGTTTCACCTTGCGCTTTTATACAAATAAAAAAATAATTTAATGATGTTAGATTTTATTTCTGTGCCCATTTCGTTATAGCTCGTTACTTTTTAAGCGAGTTAAGGTATTTAGGCCGCTTAAAACTATGAAATTATAAAATCTCGTCTGCGCGCTAGGCGTATCCCTCTAAATGGTTCCAGGTATACGACGCGTAAACATGTAACCTTCTTGGAGGTGCCAGGGCTGGTGTTAATATTTCCAACTCAAATTTAGTAACCTGGCCTTGATAAAATACCACTTCTCATTACTGTAGCAAATGCCTCAAGAGAGCTTTAGATTATAAGGCCGAACCCGGCTCTCCCTTTCCATTTAATGAAATTTTTTCTATCATTACGGCACTTATAAAATAAATCTCCTTAACAAATTTAAAATACTTCCAAAGAGTTTCTATCCTTCCAGAGATATGCATTAAGAAATTTTTAGTATGTATGGGAGGCGACATGCCTCCTTTTTTAATAACTCACATTTTTTTATGAGCAATTGAAACATTTTGTATACACAACTACATACCAAGTTCCAGTATTCTTCCACAAACACTTCCAGGGATATGTGGCAAGAAAAAGTCAATTTGCACAGAAAGTGCCACGCCCCTTTTTCTTATAACCCTAATCTTCTTTCATGAATTTAGAATTGATTTTACATATCCCAGTACCACGTCCAGTACTCTACCATGAACACCTCTAGAGATATACAGTATAAAAGTAAATTTGTACGGGAGGTACCATGCCGCCTTTTCGAATAACGCAAATTTTTCTCCATGAGTATGGAATTAATTTTGTATACACATCTCGGTGCCAGGGTCCCGTCCTCTGCAATAAAAACCTCCAGAGATATGCAGCATACAAAAATCAATTTGCATGTGAGTTGCCACATCACCTTTTCCAATAACTCTAATTTTTCTCAATGAGGATGATATTCGTTTCACATGCATACATACATATGTATTTCCATACCAACCTTGAGTACTTTAACCCAAACATTTAAAGGAATATGCAATATGAAACTTTCAGTCAGTATGGGAGGTGCTACGCCTCTTTTCCACAAACGTCCATTTTTCTCCGTCATATGAACCTGATTTCACACAGTATTGGAAAACTGTTAATCTGATTAACGATTAAAAATTACCGATTAAAATGTTAATCGCGTTTGACGAATAAAATTAATTAGTCGTTATCAACTGTACGACTAATGATAACATTTTTTGAATCGTTAATCGCTGGCTGCGATTACGTTTAATTAATTTAAAACATTAATCGTTAATCCAATTAAAAATAAAATCTGATTAATTTGTCTAGTTTGTCCGAGTTTGAAACCAAACACCAGTTATAGTAATTATTTTGTGTTTTACGCTTATAAAAAGCACATAATATAAAAAAATTATAATTATTGTTATTAGTAATACATAAACTGGGAACTTTTACAATACTAGTTTGTAAAACGTTTGCTGGTATATATCTTAATGAAAATGCACATCAAATTGCTTAGATGGATGAGGAAACCCGACTTAGCCATTCCGGATTAATTTGCTTTGTGTGCACAGGGAAATTCCAGCATAACTTAATTAATCACCAAACCTACTTGATCAAATTAAGAGTTAATGATTAAAAAATAATTTTTTAATCGAGGTCACGATTAACTATTTAGTCAGATTACAATTAATCATGATTAACTGTAATCAGATTGTATTTAATCGTATTAACTAACTGATTAAAACATCAATCGACTAATGCCATCATTGATTTCACATAGATATCACTATACCAAGTTTCAGTTCTCTCCCACAAATACTTCCAGACATATGTATGTAATATGAAAATTCTAATTTGTATGGGAGGGGCCTTGAGTTATCTGACTTACTTTCAGTCTAGGACCATCCTTCCATAATCCGTAGTAAGTGTGCTAAATTTCGTTCTGATCGGAAAACCGGTTAAGGAAGTAGCCTGTTTTCAACTCCAGGTCATAAACCATCTTTGAGCAAAATTTCATTTTCAAACAGGTGGCAATTCTTAAAAAAGTAGCTTATTTTCCAGTCTAGGTCATAAGCTATCTGTGTGCAAACTTTCATGCAAATCAGTTTAGTCATTTACGCGTATTAATTTAATTAAACTTTCCTAATACGTGATAACTCTTAAAATAGTAGCCTATTTTCCAACATACGTCATAAGCTATCTCTGTGCGAAATGTCATGAAATGGCAACTCTTCCAAAAAATTAGCCGATTTTCCACTGTAGGTCATAAGCTATCTGCTTGCAAAATTTCATGCAAATCCGTTCAGACTTTTCCGCGTATTAATTTAATTAAACTTTTTTAGCAGGTGGTAACTCTTAAAAAAAGTAGCCTATTTTTCAACCTAGGTCATGCGCTATGTGTGTGAAAACTTCAACGCAAATCAGTTCACTCATTTCCGCGTATTAATTAAATTAAACATTTCTAACAGGTGGCAACTCTTAAAAAAATAGCCTACTTTCTAACCTAGGTCATAAGCTATCTGCTTGCAAAATTTCATGCAAATCCATTCTGTCGTTTCCGCGTATTAATTTAATGAAACTTTTTTAACAGGTGGCAACGCTTAAGAAAAGTAGCCTATTTTCCACTGTAGGTCATAAGCTATCTGTTTGCAAATTTTCATGCAAATCCCTTCAGTCGTTCCCTCATATTAAATAAATTAAACTTTTTTAACAGGTGGCAAAAATAGCCTATTAACCAATCTGGCCCATAAGCTATCTGTGTACAAAATCCCATGCAAATCCGTTTAGTCGTTTCCGCGTGATGATTTCCCAAACATACAAACTTTCACATTTATAATATTAGTAAGATATTAGTAAGATGAGAGTCGGAGTACAAGAAATTGTATTACATTCTTCCCCCTTCATGCTGGCTCTTAATGTCACCCCTCATCTATCACCTAAATGTGCCAAGACGGCTCTGGTTTATACCATGTATATAAAGACTTTCATTATTTCACCTATCGAACCTTATTGACGCATATTCATAGTTGAAATAAAATCACCTTTAAGGTTAGTTATAGCTTTTTGACATAATTTTCAACGGAGAATCTGTCAAAAAACTGCTTAGAATAGATTTTATTCATCTTTGAGTATTCCCCATTATTTTTAATAAATTGCTAATGGAGATCATAATTTTCCGTGAAAAATAGTTTTTTCTATTTAAATAAAAACCTATTGATGAGGGATAAATTAAAAATACGCAATATGCATATTTTGCTTTTAGGGCGTGTGTGAATCGGTAACAAAGTTCTATGGGGAAAGCTGTTGAATAATATTTTTACTATAGTGAGACAGTTTTGTCAATCTGCTGTGTGAAATGAAATCTTTTTTGACAGCAGTAAATTTTTGATAACCGCAGAGTTATGCGGAATAAAATATTATAAATTAAAGTGAAATTAATATTTTAAGAAAACAACCGTCGTTGATTGCAATCCATGAATTTAAGCTTTTATTTAACGTAAAATTACACACATCAACAATCTTTGCGATTGTCAAAGTTTTCTATGCATTTGTCAAAAATTTCACTAGCCTCATGAGCTATGAAATTTCATTCACCTCATAGTTGTCAAAAATTTACTCGCCGCGAACTTTGCTACCGATTCACACACGCTCTTATTATGAAAATAAAATTTCTAACAATTTCGATAGTATGTTCAGTTATACTTAATGAGATAAACTTATATAGTTAGATGTGGGTGATATCACGCCCACTTTCCAAAATTCTATAATAATGTTACTTATTTCAAGGGATTGTTGTTAGCATCATTTTTGAGTAAATCAGCGTACTCAAATTTCGGAATATCGAAGTTTCGAGAATTTCTGAAATTTACCGTTATATGAAAAGTGAGAGTAATTTTAGTCCGATTTCAATAATTTTCAAGATTTTGCTTTTATGTGGCAATCACAATAATCGTACCGAGTTTGGTACAAATTTATTGAACGGTTACTGAGATGCAGATATGTGGTCATAAGTGGGCGGGGTCACGCCTATTTTCCAAAATTTTATTATAAGCGTATTTTATGCTAAGGAATTATTGCAAACATCAATTTTGAATAAATTAGCTTCTGTATTTACTGATTTATCAAAGATTTCGTATTTCTCTAAATTACCGTTATATGGGATGTGGGCGTGGTTATTGTCCGATTTTAAAAATTTTCAGTTTGGGAGAAATTGGTGAAGCGGTTACCGAGATATACACATGTAATCATAAGTGGGCGCGGACGGCCATTTTGCAAAAATTTTTAATATTCTTATTTTACGTCTAAAAATCATTGTAAATATCAATTTTCAGTGAATAAGCTTCTACCGTTATATGGGATGTGGGCGTGGTTACGTTCCGATTTCACCCATTTTCAATACCAACCTACCTTTGGTAAAGGGCAATCTACGTACCAAATTTCGTTGAGATATCACAATTTTTGCTCGAGTTATCGTGTACACGGACGGACAGAGAGACATGGCTTAATCGACTTCTCGTTTCTAGTTGGGAGTGGAGTTGATTAACCAGCTTGGAGAGTAGGACGGCTCCACAGAGCTCAAGTCTGGGGAGGCTGACTATTTGCAGGGGGGCTACCTTACTTTTAGCTGCGAGTATGTGTGACGAGTAGGAGTTTCCGTCAATTTGTACTCGGAGGTAGACACAGGCTCAATAAGCTTTTTCATAGGCGTCTGAAAACCCGTGTACTTGTACACGGTGAGTAGGGGAGAATTGCACCCAGCGGGGAATAACAATTTCATTAATCGTGGATCGTACGTGTAAGAGAAGGAGTCCGTTAGCGCGTTCCATTTTATGCCTAGCGTTTTTGTAAAGCTAGTGTCCTGAAACTGGAGAAAATCAACATTAAGGACCTCGGAATCTGGGACTGCTTCCAGGATTTTTGTGTGATTTGAGGTGATTTTCCATAGTGGAAAACCTGCAGATTTTAGGGCGTCTTTAACTTGGGTTAATGAGCTTATAGTGGACTGTATATTATGCCCGCCTAAGAGAATATCGTGTACGTACGTTTCTCGTAGGAGGATATTGCTGGCGAGCGGGAATTCGTCCTGACAATCCTGCGCTAACTGATGAAGCGTACGGATTGCCAGATAGGGAACGCAATTGACGCCAAAGGTGACTGTTTTCAGCCTAAAATCTTCTATGGGCTTATTTGGGGACCTACGAAAGACGATTTTATGGAAGTCTTGATCTTCCTTGTGGACGAGAATTTGGCGATTCATTTTTTCGATGTCGCCATTAAAAACGAACTTGTAGAGGCGCCATCGAAGAATGATGAGCATCAAGTCGTTTTGAAGGGTTGGTCCAGTGTATAGCACGTCATTCAATGAGTTTCCAGAGTGCGATATTCTGGAAGCATTGAAGACTACGCGTACTTTTGTTGTTTTGCTGTCTGGTTTTATGACAGCGTGGTGCGGTAAATAAAAGGAGAAGTATTTACCGCCATTGATGACTTCTTGGGATGAGGTGGGCTCCATGTGGTCCATGGTGATGTATTCTTCCAGAACTTCTGAGTACCTTTTGCAGAGGTCAGGTTTCTTCTCCAGAGTCCTTTCGATGCTGATGTACTGCTGCTGCGCTGCTAGTCGAGAGTGTCCTAGAGCCATGAAGTCTGGGAATTCGTGTTTGATGGGTAGTTTCACAATGTATCGTCCATCTGTCTGCCGGATTGTTGTGCGTCGATACAGGTCCTCACAGAAGTCCTCTTCACTTGAACGGGGTTGCGTGACAGCTACTTCCTCCTGTTCCCAAAACTTCTTCAGCAGTGAATTCAACGATTCCTCCTGGGGTTCGGTTACCTGGGTGGTAAAGGTAGAGATCTTCTCCTGGATTGGGCCGCTCAGAATCCATCCAAATATCGTGTTCTGCGCTATGAGACTTCTGCTTATGTTTTGTTGCAGCCCTTGTAGGGGAATTCGGGGGATTAGGTCACTGCCGATTACCATATCTATTTTATTTGGGGTGAAACAGTTGGGATCGGCGAGCCTTAATCGTTTTATATCTCCTAAGTTAATATGAGAGATATTGGTTGAAGGTAGAAAATGAGTCAATTGGGGCAAAATAATGGCTTGGGTCTTTATTTTCTGGGTTCGATCTGCTGAGCAGAGTGTGATTTGGCACATTTTTTTTGAATTTTGTACCACCATTCTACCCATTCCAGAAATCTCGAATAGAGCATCTGTCATAGGCAAGCGCAAGAGTTTCTGTATCCGGGATGGTACAAACGGTTTTTGTGAGCCTTGATCCACCAGAGCGCGAATATTATGATATTCGCCATCACAATATATCGGTACTACCGCCGTTGGGAGGAGAGTTGTGACGTTAGTACTCGAAAAGTGAGATGACACTTTATTTACGTCGTTTTTCTCTGGTAGCTTATGTGTCGCATATTTCGAGCAAGTGGGCGCTTCAGTATCCGTACTAGTCTGCGTCGACAGCTGACTCGTTGTTCGCTGGGGTTTTGAATTGGGTTTTGGTTGCTGGGTTTTTTGCGGGAAGTGTAAAAGAGAGTGATGTTTTCTTTGGCAGTATACACAAGTGAAGCTGCTTGAACAATCACTCTTTAAATGTGAGTAATAGAGGCAATTTTCACAATAATTGTGCTCTCGTATGAATCTTAAACGGTCAGATACGGACAGTGCTTTAAATTTAACACATGCCTTCATGGGGTGCCTTGAGTTGCAGAGTTTGCATGAGATCGGCTGATTTAGATCCACATACATGAAAACTTTGAGTTCTACTTTTATTAATGAACGTCGAATTTTGGTTCATCATTCTGGGTGTAAAAAGTGGGGTAGGGGGTTTTAGTTTGCCTGACCGATATGCATGTAGTCTTTCTACTACTTCATACCGGCTTGTGAGGAATTTATTCATATCTGCCCACAGCGGTAACTCTTTCCGTGAGCTGAGTGATTGCTCCCATAGAGACATAGTTTCACTGGGCAGTTTTGAGGAACATAAATATACAAGGATGGGGTCCCAATTGCTGGTCGGGATTCCTTGTGCTGAGAGGGTTGAGAGGCAATTATTGATAGTGGATTGAACTTTTTGGATTTGCTCACCACTTTCTGTGTATATGGGGGGGATATTGAATAACGCTTTTAATTGGTTATCTACCAATATCCTAATATTCTCGTACCGTGACTTTAAGGCATCCCAATTATCGTCAGTGAGAGGGAATTGTTTAACTATTTGTCCTGCTTGACTTCTGGTTTTTTGCCTTAAATGGTATAGTTTCTGGGCTGGTGTTAATTTGGGGTGAGTTTTATAGACTGCCGTGAACATATCTCTGAACGCCGGCCAGTCTTCGTACCCACCGCGGAAAATTTCTGTATCACACGGTGGTACCTTGAGGAATACTTCTTGGGAGTTCGAAGTTGGGGTGGAATTTGTGGTGGGAATGGTGCTTGTTTGGGACTGGGAATTTGCCCCGAGAAGTTGTAAGCCGTCTAAAATTTGCGTCTTACAATTCTCATAACTTTCTCAGCATTTATTATATTTTTGCTCAATCGATCCACAAGATTCAGCGAAGTGCTCAGAGCGGGATACTGCTCTATATGAGCTTATAAGGGCATCCCATAACTTGTCCGGCTCGAAGGACCATGTTGCTTTTTATGGGAGTAATAATGGCGCAGGGTCCGCCAAGTGCGGATGATCCAAAGAAATAAAAAGCCGATTGGATTTTTGGATATAATTCAATTAGCAAAATGTATTTTATTGATGAAATATATGATATTCGTAGGAACCGGAATTAACCTTTTCGCCCGAGTGGCTTTTAAAGAAAATACAAAAATAGTACGTTAAGCGGTGCGGCTGCGGCGGTGGTTGGAACCATACTAAAAAAATTAAAAAATGATCGTGGGCTCGGGCCACCCCGTGACCTCATTATAACAACAACAAATTTACTTCAAATTAATTCACAATGGTGTTACAATGCTGCCAGCCTCCCGCAATTTATACAACAATCTCAAAAATGTACTTATGGTTTTAAAACTCGATAAGATTGTGGCTCATGTCCTCGACAAATGGCTTTAGTTGCTTTTAAAAGCTTCAAATAAGCCTTTTGGCAAAAGCATTTATTTTAACGTTTTAACCCTATTACAAGTTCTTTTCAAAAACTCCGTTAGAAATGCTTGTTACATCAGACTTCAGCTATTAAAATCCAATGTCTATTCAATTTACAAAAAGAAAGAGGTCATATGTATATGTAAACAAAGCAATTTGCTTTTTGTTAACTTTTCGCGTTTGCCCTAAAAATACTTGGAAGTACGTACTTCACGTGGACCGCTCGATCGCCAGACCTGAATCCATTCGATTTTTTCTACTGGGGCTGTCTTAAGGACAAAATTTATTCAAAAACAATTCAAAACGAAGAGCATTTGCGGGAACAAATAAATGGAGCTGCTGCTGAGATAGCCCAATTGAGTTTAAGATCTCTAAAAGCGTCTTTTCTTAAGAGGTGCCGAGCTTGTATTAGAGTAGAAGGTCGCCGATTTGAGCATATTTTATCAATAAATGAATAAATTTTTCTTCAAAAAACTCATGTATATTTAATTTCACGTGAACCCATCCTTCAAAAAAAAAAATATTGATAGATATAGCCCTTGTTATAGACTCTAGTCCAAATTCCTGTAAGTGACATAAAATAATGTCAGGAGCAGGTAATAATGTACCTTTGTACTATTTAGCATGTCATTGGTCGGTAACAAGAGCAACTTAAATTTAAATCTATTAAATACATTCTAGCGTGTCTCTGTCCTTTGCCCACAAAAGCGGCTATAACTTTTTTTCTTTCTAATCGAAACAGTAAGAGTGGCACCTTTCTGAAATCTTTATTAAATGAGCAATTTTTTTATGTAATGTAAAGTTATAGCTCAGTACATTTTTTTTCACCAGAGATAGTCAAAGTTGGGGAAGAAAATGTCAAAAAGTTAAAAATCCCAATATAGACCTAATTTTATGATGGTTCCTTAATATATTTTAACTGCATTGCATTTGAGTATGGAGAAGCGACTATCTGGAAGTATTTTACATAAAAAGTTTACTAAGTATAGCCTGGTTTTTAGATGCTGTTAAAGAAAATAATTGAAAAGGCACGATTTTTTTTTAATTAAAAAAAATGTAAATACGAGTATTTAAAAAACGGTAACATTTTTACCTGAAAATTTTTTGTTCGTCAGAGAGCCATATATGTATGCAGTATTCTTTGTGCGAATTTTTAATTACTTTACGCAGCAAATATTTTAAAGTAACGTTGTTGTAAAAAGAGCTAATACTAGTCAGACTGATCATCTAGCAACGTATTTATTTTCTTTGGTATTTAATTTTTTCTAAAGTTGAGTTCATACCTTATTAAAAACCACGTAAATCCACGCTTGGAACTTAAGGCAATGTTTGTTTGTACGTAAAATATTTTCTTAAAAAAAAAGAACAAAAATTGAATAACAACAAGTAAGAAAGTCTAAGTTCGGGCGGAGCCGAACATTAAATACCCGGCGCAGGTACCGCTACATGGTAAGTCGCTGTGTATAAATTTTGAGTAAATTAGCGTCCTTAAATTTCGAAATATTGAAGTTTCAAGCATTTCTGAAATTTTCCGTTATATGAAAAGTGGTCGTAATTTGAATCTGATTCCAATAATTTTCAACGTTTTGCTTCTATGGGGCAAGCACAATAATCATACCGAGTTTAGTACAAATTGGTGGAACGGTTACCGAGATACATATATGTGATCATAAGTGGGCGGTGCCACACCCATTTTCCTAACTTTTATCATAAACGTATTTCTTGGTAAAGAATTGTTGCAAGCATCAATTTTGAGTAAATTAGCTTTAATATTTATTGATTTATCGAAGATTTCGTATTTCTCCAAATGACCGTTATATGGGAGGTAGGCGTGGTTATTGTCCGATTTTAAAAATTTTCGGCCATTTGGTATGCTGTAGCAAGACTAACCACTGTGCCAAGTTTGGAAGAAATTTGTGCAGCGGTTACCAAGATATACACATGTTTCCATAAGTGGGCGTGGCTACGCCCATTTTCCAAAAATTTATAATATTATTATTTTTCGTCTAAAAATTATTGTAAATATCAATTTTGTGTGAATAATCTTCAGTAGTTACTAAAATATCGCAGTTTTCGTATTTCGGAAATTTACCGTTATATGGGAGGTAGGCGTGGTTATTGTCCGATTTTGCCCATTTTCAATACCATCCGTCCTACGCCCGAAAGAAGTGCACGTACCAAGTTTCATTAGGATATCTCAATTTTTACTCTAGTTATAGTGTGCACAGACGGACGGACCGACGGACGGACGGACAGACAGTCACCGCTTAATCGATTTCTCTTTTCATTCTGATCATTTATGTATACATTTGTCTATATCTATCTCGATTCGTTTTGCCTGTTACAAACAACCGTTATGTGAACAAAGTTATAATACCCTTGTGCACAAGTGCGCTCGGGTATAAAAACGTTAATTGCGAAAACTTGTTAATATGTGATGCGGCTATAATTTTTTCAACCACTATATGTAAGGTTTAAGTTCGTTCACTTGAACTAAAAATAATTCGACCCACTTCCGGTCGACGGTTCCTTATTTTTTTACTAAGAACAATTATCCCTACATCCCAGCCCGTATTGCACTGGGCTAACATTTTTGTGAATATGCAGAGAATGTAAATCTATAAGAGGAGACAACACGTTATAATTGTAGCGAGTGTGAACATCAGGAGCGTGCCTTCTATATTTATCCAATCACAAAACGCATTTGGGCAAAAGAGAAAGCACGCTCCTGTTATTCCCACTCGTTACAATTATAACGTGTTGTCTCATAAATTTACGTTCTTTGGAAACTTACTAATATTATAAATGCGAAAGTTTGTATGTTTGGATGTTTGGGAAATCATCACGCGGAAACGACTGAACGGATTTACATGAAATTTGG